AGTGAAAATGTAGGCAATTTGGCAGTTTTGAAAATTCTGAGTTTTCTGAAAATATTGAAAATTTTGATTATTTTGTGAATTTTAAAAATTTTGAAAACTAGTAAATTTTCAGAACGGTTTTTATTTTTTTACTCAAAAATGGCGCATCGAAGGAAAACAATTCAAGAGAGATCATTTATTTCAAATTGAACGGGGAATTCAAAAATAATTTCTATTTGGAAAAAAACCATTGACGTACCATTTTTTTCCTTAAAAAATATCGAAGTCAATACCCGCACGCACGCCACTGTTGAAGCTAAAAATTATTTTTGCATTGGAAAATATGCAGCTTTATTAACTTTCACTACGTACTAAATATTAGTGAAATATCTGAAGCGGTCCTGAAAAGATTAATTAATTTCAATTTTTTTCCGAAAACTTCAATACCCCGAGTTTGTGCAAGGAAACATTTTTGGACCATAGTTTATAAAGCAAACTAACATTAATTTTCCATGTAGATTCACACCCTGTCTGTTCACATGACAGAAATAAACTTCACAACTTTGTTAGGGCTAAGAAGTACTTTGAAGATTTCGAAAGTTTTGCAATTTAAGAAAATTTCGACTTTGGAAATTGTAAAAATTTAAAATTTTGGCAATTTTAACAGTTTTTAAAATTGAAGATTTTGAAAATTTGGGAAATTTCAAAAATTTTGATATTGTAAATTTTCGAAATTTTGATAATAGTGAAAATATAGGCAATTTGGCAGTTTTGAAAATTCTGAGTTTTCTGAAAATATTGAAAATTTTGATTATTTTGTGAATTTTAAAAATTTTGAAAACTAGTAAATTTTCAGAACGGTTTTTATTTTTTTACTCAAAAATGGCGCATCGAAGGAAAACAATTCAAGAGAGATCATTTATTTCAAATTGAACGGGGAATTCAAAAATAATTTCTATTTGGAAAAAAACCATTGACGTACCATTTTTTTCCTTAAAAAATATCGAAGTCAATACCCGCACGCACGCCACTGTTGAAGCTAAAAATTATTTTTGCATTGGAAAATATGCAGCTTTATTAACTTTCACTACGTACTAAATATTAGTGAAATATCTGAAGCGGTCCTGAAAAGATTAATTAATTTCAATTTTTTTCCGAAAACTTCAATACCCCGAGTTTGTGCAAGGAAACATTTTTGGACCATAGTTTATAAAGCAAACTAACATTAATTTTCCATGTAGATTCACACCCTGTCTGTTCACATGACAGAAATAAACTTCACAACTTTGTTAGGGCTAAGAAGTACTTTGAAGATTTCGAAAGTTTTGCAATTTAAGAAAATTTCGACTTTGGAAATTGTAAAAATTTAAAATTTTGGCAATTTTAACAGTTTTTAAAATTGACGATTTTGAAAATTTGGGAAATTTCAAAAATTTTGATATTGTAAATTTTCGAAATTTTGATAATAGTGAAAATATAGGCAATTTGGCAGTTTTGAAAATTCTGAGTTTTCTGAAAATATTGAAAATTTTGATTATTTTGTGAATTTTAAAAATTTTGAAAACTAGTAAATTTTTAGAACGGTTTTTATCTTTTTACTCAAAAATGGCTCATCGAAGGAAAACAATTCAAGAGAGATAATTTATTTCAAATTGAACGGGGAATTCAAAAATAATTTCTATTTGGCAAAAAACCATTGGCGTACCATTTTTTTCCTTAAAAAATATCGAAGTCAATACCCGCACGCACGCCACTGTTGAAGCAAAAAATTATTTTTGCATTGGAAAATATGCAACTTTATTAACTTTCACTACGTACTAAATATTAGTGAAATATCTGAAGCGGTTCTGAAAAGATTAATTAATTTCATTTTTTTTCCTAATACTTCAACACTCCGAGTTTTTGTAAGGAAACATTTTTGGACCATATTTTATAAAGCAAACTAACATTAATTTTCCATGTAGATTCACACCCTTAAATATTCGCATATCATTAAGGAACACAATCTTGAAGATAACGAAAATTAGAGAAACATTGAAAAATTTCAAAATTTTGAGAATCGAATTTTGAAAATTTTGGAACCTTGAGAATTTCAAAAACCCAAAAAATTTTGAGAATTTCGAAAATTATGCAAACTGAAAATTTTGAAATTTTAGAAAGTTTTAAAAACAGAAAATTTTAAAAAACTTTTATGTTGTAATTGTTATGGACCCAATCCATTGCGGTAGAAGCTAGGTCATCTCCCAGACGTATAGTGAAGTAATAGAACAACAAACTAAGCACTAACTTTGCTTAAATTGCATACAATTTTTATAATTGTACGATACAGAATCTCATTATCTAGGATTGTTTCCTTACTGTTTCAGTTTTTGCATCCCACAATCACAGACCCATCCGAGATAATTTCTAAAGAACGATTGAAGTTATGGTTTGCGCGATCAACATTCCATTTCAACTATACAGTTATACATCAATTTAAATTACCCATTTTATAAGGAAACCGCAAGCGTTTTTCCTCCAGAGATCACGATTGATTTACTGTGCACTTATTCTACTTATATATTATTGGTGCATGAAAGAGATTCGAGAAGATGCAATTTCTTGATGATTATGATTTTTACGTCTTGTGATAATAATCTAATAATTTCTAGTTTTGAAAATTTCAAAAATTTTAAAATCCTTGGAAATTTTGAAAATTTGAAAAATTTGTAAATATTGAAAATTTTCGATAATTATGAGAATTTTGAAAATTATTTAGTGCCATTTGAGGGTTATTGACCGAACAACTCACCCTTGAGTGATTCTTAAAATTTCTGAAAACTGAAAGTTTTGAAAATCATGAAAATTTTGCAATTTCTGAAAATATGAGAATTTTGAAGATTATGAGATTCTGGAAATTCTGAAAATTTTGAAGCGTTGGTTAGATCCTGGATATTGAACTAACAACGCACCCTTGAGTGATGCTCAAGTGAAGAACCAACATTTTAAAAAAAATTGTTTCGAAAATTTTGAAGTAATCGAAATAACTGAAGTTTTTTATAAATTGTGAGGATCTTGAAAATTCTGAATATCAAGAAAATTTTAAAGATAGCACATATTTTAGTTTTCGAAACCAAAATTTCCAAAACTTTCAAAAATTTCAAAAACTAGCTTTTTAAACATTTTGAGGTTTAAAAAATTTCGAAATTTTTTTAATTTTCCAAAATTTTCAAACTTCAATTTTCAAAACCTTCAAAATTTATAAAATTCCCAAGACTTTTCACAATTTTCAAAATCAATATTTTAAAAAATTCCAAAACTTGCGATACATTTAAAATCTTCAAGGTTTTTAACATTTTCACGGTTTTCAAAATTTCGATAATTTTCAATATCAAAATTTAATTAATTAATTTTCAAAAACTACCTTTTTAGAATACTCAAGGATTATAAAATTGAATTTCCAATTACAAAATTCTTGAAATCTTCAATATTTTCAAACTCTTCAATTTTCAAAACCTTAAAAATTTTTCAAATTCCCAAGGCTTAGAAAATTTTCAAAATCAATATTATCAAAAATTCCGATATTTTTAAAATCTGCAAGGGTTTTCAAATTGTCACGGTTTTCAAAATTTCGAAAATTCTCAATATCAAAATTTATGAAATTTCCAAAATTTCAATAATCAATCTAAAACTCGAATTTTTTAAAATCTTCAAGGTTTTTAAAAATATCACGGTTCTCAAAATTTCAAAAATTTTGTAAATTTTCAGTATTAAAGTTTTTCAAATATCCAAAATTTTCAATTCTCAAAATCTGCAAAGTTACAATTTTCAAAATCAAAATTGTCAATAATTCTAAATTGTCGAAATATTTAAAATCTCAAGGTTTTAAAAATTTTTAGAGTTGCCAAAATTTACGAATTTTTCAAAATTTTCATCATTTTCAAAATTATAAAATGTTCAGTGCAAAACTAACAGGCGAGAAACCATGGTACATACAGGAATATTTATGAAACTTAAAAAAGTTATTACACTTCACGTTAATTTTCATTTTCAGTCATTAAATTTTATATATATATATATATTTTACAATGTCAAATAGAAAATACAAATCAGCGCCTAGAAGTGCAGCAGTATGAAAATGTTTTGTACGTGATGCGTCATTCCTTTCTGTGTCGTAGCATAATTACACGTGCTGATTTCTCGAAAACGCAAAAAAACGGGTAAGATCATTATGCATAACTTTGAACATAACCCCTCTTCAGAAAGAACAACAAAGCATGAACGGGTCATGTCGATGAGCAAGTTGACATTTTGACTTTTTTTTACGTTTCCTTCTTAAACAAATCGTATATTTTTTCACTTGTTTGAAAGATTCTTTATAAGAAATCGATTATACTCATTAGATCCTTTACTAGAAAGATGCCTTCTTATTGGTCCGTTATGATCTGGTTCAAGATCTCCCGTTAGTAAAAGCAGACCTTTGTTCTCCAATTGTCAAATAGCATTTGAATGGTTCACATAGGCTAGCAGAATAATTCCTGAGCTTATTGTCACAACCACAAAGTCATTAAGGAGTCACACTCCCTGTACAACCGATAACAATGGCGTACGAGAAGTCACGAACGATGAATCATCCGATCATAATTCCCGGCTTGGCAGTGAAACTTCTTTTCTGAATTCCGTTCGCATATTTTTGAATATATTTTCTTCCTCTGCATTCACTCACTGGTCGTTAGTACAGTAACGTTCGTTTGTTTTTCTGTCTGGTCTTACAGGGTGTGACGAGGTTATTGACCTGGTCGGAGATACATTACATACCTAGGTTGAGAAGTTAGCTATTATTGGCGCGGACATTATGCGTCAATAATGACCTTATGAGATTTAAATACTTTTCATTGGCCCTAACAACCAGTAACCTTGGGTGGGATCGGTACCGAAGCTTTGCTCTCCCCCTTTTGTGCTAAACCGACGAGAGTATGTTTTTTTGATGTTACATACTGTAAAAAAACTATAAAACATTCTGATCTTATCGCTTCTGTCAGAGCGGCGTGAACGGAGCGCCGCCCACATTGCCCGCCACTCCAACGCCTTCCCTGCCGACGGCCAATGACAGCTCAGTGGGCGTGGCCAAACCGGTACCGCCTCCGCGCGATCACCTCAAGATAGAAAAGGACGGACGGTTGGTGAACCGCGCGCCGGCGCCGCAACTGCCGGCGAGGTTGAACAGCGGGAGCGGGGCGGTGCCGCAGACGCCTGTGGCTGTCACGCCCCCTGTGGCCCATCAGGAGCCCACCAAGGAGCAATTGGATAGCATTAAGAAGTATCAGGTGAGTACTATAAGATCCTTTTTACTTTCTAGGCGATTTAGAAAGTGAGGTGTCATGTTTTATGACATGTACCAATTAAGAATGCAATATACTGAATCTGGGAACCTAGATTGGCCAGTAATCTAAAAAATGATATTTGTCGAGGATAATCTGAACCTTTTTTGTATGATAATTTTTGCTCTATCTCTAAAAATAAAGTGGTGGGGGGTAATTAAAGGTTTCCGTATCTTTGAAACGACTGAGTCGATTTAAACAAACTTGGGCTGGTCGCGCTATGTCTGACGCGTCGTGGTGTTAGGGAGATGCGACGTTGCCAGTTTGACAGTACTACAGGTGGAGCAGGAAGAGGATGTCTGGACTTACTGTATGGACCCGTTTGGCGGACTTGATCCGTTTCATTTCTCTGTGATACATGTTCGTAACTAACTACAAAGAGTACAGAACCACCCTACACGACGCCAATTGCTTAGGGAAGGTATTTATAGTTCTTCTTAGAAGGAAAATGTAGGAACGACGTGTAAGACTTAATATATCTCGGAATCTGAAGATGAATTTTTTTTCAGATCATCCAAGTTCGTAGTAAACTCTTGTCCACGTTGCTCAAACACTTCGTATATATATCCTGACTGTGAAAAGAAAACTTAGTGAATAATGCTCTTTTAATGATCAATATGTAAGAAATATAAGATACAAATAAAGCAGTGTTTTATTTGTCGAATACGAATTACTTTGTGAAATCCATACATGGTTTCCCTATTAACTTCAAATTCAAAGATTTTATTTTGTGTTGTTAGAGTCAAATGGAAAAAAATAGAGGATATGCGTTTGAAAAAGAGAAAAAGATTTTTGAAAATTTTCTTAGACCAGTTTTTCTACAATGCCAATAAATTTCGTCGCTTTTCCGTGTATCAAAGTTCCAACAGGGCTTAATTTTTAATTTATATTTGTTTATCGATCTCATGACTATATCAGACGAGAATATATACCACAAACCGCAGACATATCAAGGTAAAGACCCCATGTTTGGGAAAAACACTGTTTTAATTTGCATAGAATAAAAATCTATAAATATGATGATTACTTAATGAGCAAACAATCGTCATCGATGCAACGTTGCCACATATTTCCCCTGTCCGTACATAAACCACGAGGCATATAGCCCAGGGACTATAGTCACACGAGACTTGACTCAAAAATAGTTTTTTTCATGTCGCCAATTTTTCAACGTATTTTTTTAGACGAGGAATCTGCTTTTCGAATTATTAAATTGAATTCTTAGGTGTTGAACAGGTTTACTTTTGTGCTTTTTATGTTAATTTCAATATGAATAAATTATACCAAATTAAAATAAAATTCTGCATTACTGAGTTTTTCCTTTGAAAAAAATAACATAAGACTCCGATTTTTACAATTTACTTTACTAAGTACGGCAGTATGGCAATGCGGAAGTATTGAGTCAACCTGCTTGACGCCAATCTCTTTCAAACTCTCCTTCTAATCTAACCGCACTATTACGATTTGATTCCGAATATGAGGAAGCTTCTCCATTGGTGGGAAGCATTGAGTCAACCTACTTGATGCCAATCTTTTACACACTCCACTTTTAATCCGACTGCATTATTACGATTTGTTTCTGAATATCATCAAACTTCTTCATTGGTAGGAAGAATTGAGTCAACCTACTTGACGCATACCTCTTTCAAACTCTCCCTTTAATCCTACTGAGCTATTACGATTTGTTTCTGAATACCATGAGACTTGTCCATTTGTAGGAAGTATTGAGTCAACCTACTTGACGCCAATCTTTTTCAAACTCCCCTTCTAATCCAACTGCACTATTACGATTTGATTCCGAATATCATGCAGTTTGTCCATTGGCAAGCTACTTGACGCGTTTCTAAATATCGTGAAACTTCTCCATTGGTAGGAAGTATTGAGTCGAGCTACTTGACGCCAAGTTTCTTCAAATTCTCCTCTTAATCCAACTGCACTATTACCGATAAAGCACACATCGCGCCGCGTCACATCGCGAGCAGGTGGGAGTAGGTACAATCCGCCTAGCTACCTGTATGTATGTATACGCCGTATGCGCTTATACGCGGCTTAATTTCTGTACGCACACCGGAAATCGCTTCCTGTCTTTTTCTAACTCGCTGACCGGTCACCGGTGACCCACCGCACGCGTACCAAAAGGGCAGCACACGCATTTTTGTTGACGCCGAATCGCGAACTATACGCGTATCAGTGTCAGTGTTCTAAGAAAGCTACACGTTCTAAGCGCTAAGTGGCAGATTTCTAACGCAAAGCCTTGCCCTTAGTGCGTAGTGCCAGTTTTCTCACACATATTATAGTTTTAGGTACTTAGTGTCAATTTTCTAACATAGATTCTTGTTCTAAGTGCTTAGTGCCAGTTTTCTAACACAAATTCTCCTGGTTAGTGCATAGTATCAGTTTCAATCAGTTTTCTAAGATAGCTTATCGCTTGAAAACGTTTGATGACAGTTTTCTAACACTTAATTCTCGACCTAAGCGCTGAGTCCCAGTTTCATGCAGTTTTCTTACTTGTGCGTGGTGCAAATTTTCTATCACTAAATTGCGACCTAAGAGCGTAGTACCAGTTTTCTAACACATATAATTGCTTCAAAACGCGTTGTGGCAGTTTTTTAACACGGGTTCTTGTTCTAAGTGCTTAGTGCCAGCTTTCTAACACAAATTCTCGTCTGTAGTATCAGCTTAAATCAGTTTTCTAAAATAGACTATCGCTTAAAAATGCATGACAGTTTTCTAACACTTAATTCTCCATCTAAGCGCTGAGTGCCAGCTTAATGCAGTTTTCTAACAGAGATTATCGTTTCAAAGCTCGTAGCGACAGATTTCTAAGACATACATAATTCTCGAACTAGGCGCATAGTGCCTGTTTTCTAACACTCATTTGCGAGCTAAGAGCGTAGTACCAAAGTTCTAACTCTAGTGGCAGTGTTCTAACACGGATTCTTGTTCTAAGTGCTTAGTGCCAGTTTTCTAACACGGATTCTTGTTCTAAGTGCTTAGTGCCAGTTTTCTAATACAAATTCTCGTTTTTTAGCGCGTAGATATCAGTTTCAATCAGTTTCTAACATAGATATCGCTTGAAAACGCATAATCCCAGCTTTCTAACGCTTAATTCTCCACGTAAGCGCTGAGTGCCAGTTTAATGCAGTTTTCTAACATAGATTATCGCTTCAAAACTCGTAGTGCCAGATTTCTAAGACAATAATTTTCGAACTAAGAGCCACTTTTCTAACTCTAATATGCGAGCTAAGAGCGTACGAGTAGTACCAGTTTTGTAATACAGATTATTACTTCAAAACGCGTAGTGACAGTTTTGTAAGACTTACTTCTCGAACTAAGCGCCTAGTGCCAGTTTTCTAAGACTAATTTGCGAGCTAAGAGCGTAGTACCACAGTTCTAACTCTAGTGGCAGTGTTCTAACACGGTTTCTTGTTCTAAGTGCTTAGTGCCAGTTTTCTAACACGGATTCTTGTTCTAAGTGCTAAGTGCCAGTTTTCTAACACAAATTCTCGTTTTTTAGCGCGTAGATATCAGTTTCAATCAGTTTCTAACATAGATATCGCTTGAAAACACATAATGACAGCTTTCTAACACTTAATTCTCCACCTAACCGCTGAGTGCCAGTTTAATACAGTTTTCTAACATAGATTATCGCTTCAAAACTCGTAGTGCCAGATTTCTAAGACAATAATTCTCGAACTAAGAGCCACCTTTCTAACTCTAATATGGGACCTAAGAGCGTACGAGTAGTACCAGTTTTCTAATACAGATTATTACTTCAAAACGCGTAGTGACAGTTTGCTAAGACTTACTTCTCGAACAAAGCGCCTAGTGCCAGTTTTCTAACACTAATTTGCGAGCTAAGAGCGTAGTACCAAAGTTCTAACTCTAGTGGCAGTGTTCTAACACGGATTCTTGTTCTAAGTGCTTAGTGCCAGTTTTCTAACACGGATTCTTGTTCTAAGTGCTTAGTGCCAGTTTTCTAACACAAATTCTCGTTTTTTAGCGCGTAGATATCAGTTTCAATCAGTTTCTAACATAGATATCGCTTGAAAATGACAGCTTTATAACGCTTAATTCTCCACCTAAGCGCTAAGTGCCAGTTGAATGCAGTTTTCTAACATAGATTATCGCTTCAAAACTCGTAGTGTCAGATTTCTAAGACTTACATAATTCTCGAACTAAGAGCTACTTTTCTAACTCTAATATGGGACCTAAGAGCGTACGAGTAGTACCAGTTTTCTAATACAGATTATTACTTCAAAACGCGTAGTGATAGTTTTCTAAGACTTACTTCTCGAACTAAGCGCCTAGTGCCAGTTTTCTAACACTAATTTGCGAGCTAAGAGCGTAGTACCAATGTTCTAACTCTAGTGGCAGTGTTCTAACACGGATTCTTGTTCTAAGTGCTTAGTGCCATTTTTCTAACACGGATTCTTGCTCTAAGTGCTTAGTGCCAGTTTTCTAACACAAATTCTCGTTTTTTAGCGCGTAGATATCAGTTTCAATCAGTTTCTAACATAGATATCGCTTGAAAACGCATAATGACAGCTTTCTAACGCTTAATTCTCCACCTAAGCGCTGAGTGCCAGCTTAATGCAGTTTTCTAACATAGATAATCGCATCAAAACTCGTAGTGTCAGATTTCTAAGACTTACATAATTCTCGAACTATGAGCCACTTTTCTAACTCTAATATGGGACCTAAGAGCGTACGAGTAGTACCAGTTTTCTAATACAGATTATTACTTCAAAACGCGTAGTGACAGTTTTCTAAGACTTACTTCTCGAACTAAGCGCCTAGTGCCAGTTTTCTAACACTAATTTGCGAGCTCAGAGCGTAGTCTTCTAGCTTAGTTTATTGCTTCAAAATGCGCTGTGGCAGTTTTCTAACACAGATTCTTGTTCTAAGTTCTTAGTGTCAGTTTTCTAACACAAATTTCCGCTTAAGGGCGTAGTAAGGGCTTTAATCAGTTTAATAACATAGAATATCGCTTGGAGACGCGTTTTCTAACAGTTTCATGCAGTTTTCTAACATAAATTATCGCTTCGAAACTCGTAGTGACAGTTTTCTAAGGCTTAATTCTCGAACTAAGCGCCTAGTGTCAGGTATCTAACAGGTATTATTACTTCAAAATGCTTATGGCAATTTTCTATCACAGATTCTTCTTCTAAGTGTTTAGTGCCAGTTTTCTAAGACAAATTCGCGTTTTTAGCGGATAGTATTAATTGCAATCAGTTCTCTCATACAGCTTTTATCGCTTCGGGCCTAAATGTTTCACTTGAGGTTCGACTCTTCCCCTAAAAAATTCCGAAGAGTATTTTTGGCTTAGTTTATTTTACAGCACTATTATTTAGCCTACGTAGGAAGCATTAAAGTAACATAACAGTGCTTTAAAATAAATAATGCCTACTGTACTCTTCGTGGTCGTATACAGGGTTGTCCTAATATTTTATTTAATACAGGCAATGCTGCGAGTCTTTCATAAAAGGTGTTCACTTTTTCTGATGTAACAAGGAAATTTTTTAGAAACCAGGTCCGAAAAACACTTTTTTCTCGAAAACTATGCAAGATAAGGCAAAAAATAAAAGTATCTTGTATATTGTTTGGAGAATTGTCACAAGCGGTGTATTTGAGACAAAAGATGACCTTTTTGGTTAGAGTCATCCAATGGAATAGTTTTTGTAACCTTCTGATTCATGTCAAAGGGCATAAAAAGAAAGAGATGATAAGATAGAATTTCCTCTAACGAATACCAGATTCTTTCGCACACACCTTTAGTGCCCATTTTCGCACTCTGATATACCAGCGCGAGCCGAAATACCTACCTGTTATTTTAAGCAGACTCTGAACCGTGCAGTGCCAGTATGTGAGAACCGAAACAGCTTTGACTTTGCAAAATGGTGTCCTCTGTATGCGGCAGTGATCACGTCAACGGACGCAATAACAACTATTACCCAAATAAGGTTTGTAATTGACTTACTGTATGTGTTTTTCGTAATAAGTAGCTTTTCTGGTTCAAGGCGATATTCGATTGCTAACTGTGATGTTTTTTAATGGTCTGCGAGGTGTCATGTGGTATTGCCTCGTCGGTTTATATTTTCATCAAAGTCCAAAGTGATATTGGGGTTAGATGGTGGAATAGCAGGTGCTAAATCTCGCCCCATGTAATGTACCATGTTTTGGTCAATAAAGACGATTATTATTATTATTATTATTATATACAGGGTGGCGCATCGAAAACGAAACAGACGCACTTACTGGCAGCTCAGTTTTTTTTTGGAAAAACGCTCAGACCCGTCGATTTTGTTTTCGGGGGAGACACAACTTTGGCAAAAAATCACGTTAGCACGTGCAGCCCCCTAAGCGGGGGTGACACCACCCCCAAAATCTTAAATGGAAAGGGGGGTCGAGTGATACCTTATTTTAAAGGTCTTTCAATTCCCTTGATAATGATATAAAATTAATGTACTTCAGTTCAGTCAGTTTTGAAGATTTACTGATTTAAAGCTTAAAGAAAACTAATATATCATCATTAGTGGAAACAAACTTCCTTCCCACAAAGTTTCATGATTGATTTTTTTTTGTTTTCCAACCACTAAGATAATTTTCAAAACCTACAAATATGTTCCTTAGCGCAGTGGTAACCTTATGCCAAAATTTCATCGGTAAAAAAATACATTTTTCAACTAAACACACAGAAGCCACTTCTTAGTTTTTCAGACCAGTTTCTATATGAATTTTAATCTACCACTCAACTTTCCTGCCAATAGTCTGTATCACCCTATATACGTTGTTAGCTATTGCTAGCCCTGTATACGTATTTGTTGGGTAATTCAACAAACACTTATTCTTAAAGGTGACGTTATTTGTGTTAAGTAAACAATTTTTATGAACAGAATAGCTTGGAAGCAATAGCTGTTTGGTTATAGTTTATTGTGTATTATAATAATATGATCTGATGGAACTAGGTACTTGTTTACAACTCGTTATAACTATCTGAAAAGGGAATTAAGTTTCATCGTAGCTTACATTATTTCTATATATACTAAGTGACATATAAATCCGAACACCCAGTTTAAATGGTTTTATTTTAATAAAAGTTGGTGAATGTATTTATCTTACTGTAAATAACAAGTGAAAAAATTTTCAGCCTTATCAGTTGGACATTCCGGTCCTTGACATCCATTACGATCGGTTACGATGCCTAGAGTACGGAGACCTGTACGATTTCGTCAACTTGTGAGTTTGATAGGGGCCGTATAGTGGGACTTCGGGAAGCTGGACTTTCTTTTTGGGCAATTGCAGTTAGAGTGCAAAGAAGTGTAGACACTGTGGTTAGGTGTTGTCAGGCTTGGCTTCGAGAAGGCCGTACGCAAAGAGCAAGGGGCACTGGACGCCGCCGTAGAACAACAGACCGTGAAGATCGCCGCCTAAGATTATTGGCCTTAAGGAACCGTTTCTCCACTGCCAGGTCCATTGCAAATGAATGGTTTGCAGAACACGGAAGACCTATTGGCATGCGAAGTGTTTACCGACGAATGAGAAGTTTTGGCTTGTTTTCATACCGGCCACACTGGGTCCTCCCTTTAACTCGAGAACACCGACGTAATCGCCTTGAGTGGTGCAGACAACGGTCACTCTGGGATCAGGAATGGAACAGTATTGTCTCGATTTTGTTTAGGCATGCACGATGGTCGTGCCAGGGTTAGAAGGCGACGTGGTGAAAGGAGGAATCTACAGTTTTTTGTTGAAAGACATGTTCATCACACTGTTGGAGTTATGGTTAGGGGTGCTATAGCTTATGGTTCCAGGTCACCTTTAATCTTCATCAGAGGTAAGATGAACGCGCAGCGTTATATCCACGAAGTTCTAGAACCCCATCTTTTACCCTATCTTGCCACCCTGGCAGATCCAACTTTCCAACAAGATAATGCCCGACCACATGTTGCAAGAGTCACAATAGACTTCTTTCAACATAATGATGTCACATTGTTACCATGGCCACCAAGATCTCCCGACTTATCCCCAATTGAGCACGTGTGGGATATGATGGGTAGGAGATTGCTCAATTTGCAACGTCCTCCTCAGACTCTAGAAGCACTTCGAGAGGAGTTGGTGGTCGCCTGGAATGAGATACCACAGGAGGGCATTGACCACCTGACCAGAAGCATGCCTAGGCGCGTTGGAGAATGCGTAGCACATCAGGGTGCATCCACACATTATTAAAGGTCAAAGGGCTTTAAAGCAGTGCAATCATTTTGAAATTTTTATCATTTACTTATTATGCTTCATTAAGTACTTATACAAAATTTTATTAAAATAAAACCATTTAAACTGGGTGTTCGGATTTATATGTCACTTAGTATATTTACAAATATCATTTATACCCAACCATGTATAGATTTTAAAACCTAATTCTTATTCCACTATCATTAAAAGAACAGTATTTACTAAATTTTCAAAGTTTTCTGTTTACATTCAGGATACAAATTTTTTGTTCCTCATCAGCAGTGATTGAGCCATGAAAGTCTTGCACTTGACTCTCTTTTTGCCGTATCGTTAACTGCTCTCACCGTTCGCACCTTATTCTTAGCGTGTTGAAAAGATCATTATTGGGCCATGAAGTTGAGGACACCCGTCGCGAAAACCGTCATCAATTTTAAGTCGACTGAACAAGGACTTGCTTTTGATTGAAACAAAGTCATCGATATTTTTTTTCTGGAATGAAAACACGAAGAAGATCTACTATCTAAATATACTGAGTGAAAGGAGACAAGGAAAAATTATTCGTTAGACTTACCATAAAGAGGATCAGAAAATTCTTCGTTTGATCGGTTGTAGCGTTTACCGTGGGCTGATGGACTTTCTTTGGCTAAATTAACAATTTTTACTTTAGTTTCCTTATGTACGTTGTCGAGAGACCTCATCTATCAAATACCATAAATGTTAACAGATCTTTTGTATAGCTTGCTATCATTTTGTCAATTCTGCCGTAAGCCTTCAGTGCCTTTAAAAATCATAAATTCGTTTTAGGTGCTTTTACCGCTAAAGTGCATTTGCAACCACCTTCTCCTTATTAGAAAGTTTGATCTGGGAATTCGGTAACGCTATTTTCAATGAATGGCCATCAATTGAGCTTGCGCTTACACCTATTGAATTTTTGTCGTTAAGAGATTAAAATCTACGTATTTGTTTTATCGTTGCTCGAAAACCAAATCTTAATTGATTGACAGATCATGCTTTAGACGTTGATTACACCATGTAACACACAAAGCTGCCTCAGCGTATTTATAGCGAAGTATGTAATGCTACTGCCGCTCACTCATCGAGGATTGCTTATTGATGACCAGCGACATTGCGCATCGTTCATAATCAACATTCTTCTACAATTCGTTACATATTAAACATTGCAAGCTTGCAGATTAGAAATCAGCAGTTTGAACTTTGTTCCGCCGTCAAGGTAGACTGGTCAAAGGTTCTTCGGTCAAGTATATTCTAAAGCTTTATGATATCAGAAACCAGCAGAAACATATCGTTACTATTTAAAATAATAATAATAATCAATTCGTCTTTATTAGGTGCATACAAATAGTTAAGTTTAGCCATAGGCTACTCTTACACTTAACCACAAGTACGGAAATGTATACAAAGTATGGCATGAGAACAAAAAAAATTCTTTAAAAAATTAAGATCAGGGCTACAGTGATTTTCAGAAAGGACCCCAACGGTCACCTTGACCTTCACGGTCAAACTTTATCTTTTCAGATAGAAACCCATAGTTTTGAAGTCGGCAAGAATGGAAAATTTTACGTTCAAGCACAGTTAAGTCCAAGGTCAGGGTGACCACTAAGTGTCAAATGAAGACTGCTAGAAAAACCTCAATAAATATCACAGGATCAGTGATGAAAATAACGGTCACGGTTAAGTCTTTGGAAAATGTGAACGGTGACCTTTGAGTTGACCTTGACCTTTAAGGTTATTTCAAGGTCAGGTCAATTTTTTTCAAATAGAAATTCCTATATTTGATACGTCAGTAGAAAGGGTGCAAAATTTTGCGTACAAATACGAATTGAAGTCCAAGGTCATGGTGACCACCAAAGGTCAAATGAAGGTCAAATATGTTTTGCTAGGAAAACCACTATCTCACAGGATTAGTGATGAAAATAACTATCAAGGTCATTTCTTTAGTGAATTTTAAGCAGTGATTTTGGATTTGACCTTGAGCCTCGGCTTCAAGGCCATTTCAAGTTCAACTTATTTCTTTTTAATGGTAATCCCCATTTCTGATGCCCGCAAACGAAAGATTGGGATATTTTACGTTCGAACATGCATGCAAAATTCAACGAGCTCTGGAGGTCAAATCGGTCAAGTAAAGGTCAAATATTTGCGGCTAAGGAGACCTTTTGGAAATCTCGTAGAGAACAAGATGAGAATGGTTGGTAAGGTCAGGTCTAAGCAAATTTTCACGAGGAATAAGCGGTGATCTTGGATTTGACCTCAAACCTCACTTTCAAGGTCATTTGTCAAATTGTGCTATCATCTTTAAAAATAAACAAATTTCTTTAAGAGGGTAATTGCCTCTTTTTATTACTCTTAACCACTGAGACTGCTAGAAGATAACTGGGCTATTAAACACGAATAGTTTCAATCGATAGCTGTTATAGATATAGATGGCACTTTGTGATATCTTATTTCGATAGATCTCAAACCTCAGATAAATTATAGTTGCTATGTTTTCGTTCGTTTCCCAGACACCAAACCTAGACTATACTAATGAGTTGACAAAAAGCACAAAACAGCTAACAACGGTTGGCAGTATGCTGTTCAAAGGCGAGTAGACCACAACGACTTTACCGCCAGGACCGTCAGACTCAGAATAGAAATGTATAGGTCGCAACATTTTCAAATGGGTGTGGACTGGGTGTTAACTGTGTCAGCCCATTTCTGTATGACAGCTTTCCGTGAGCAGCGCGTGGTAATCCTTATTTGACGCGAATTCGTTCTCTTCCAGGAGCAAATCCGCAAACGAAAAGAAGAGGAAGATCGTCTAGCGGCCCAAACGGAGTTTCTGAACAGATCTTTGCGAGGCAGCCGGAAGTTGCAAGCGTTGGAAAGCAGACCTCAAGGTGCGGTGAACGATGCCTTTGCCGGGGATGATAGCGAAGAGACTACGACGGATGCGGATACGATCGGTGACGTCACGCCCGGGGAGGGCAAGGAACAAGTGCACGTACAATATGGTAAGGTATTACAGAGAATCTCGGGATTTGAATGTAATGTGACCCGGACTGATAATCCGGGGCCGTGAAACTTTGTGACCATGGGCACCCGTAGGAATTTTTCTCGGAGAGGGGGCGATAATCGGCGACAAATAACCTGCTGTAGCTGTCCCAAAAACTTTGTGAAGAGTGAGGGTAGCAAATTTTCTAGCATTAGGATCCTCAAAATTGTACAGAAAATCATGCAAAATTGCATACATTGTATATTTTGTATCATTGTATACATTGTATACATTGTATATATTGTATACATTGTATACATTGTATATCTTGTATACAGTGTATACATTGTATACAGTGTATACATTGTATACCTTGTATACATTATATAGATTGTAAACATTGTATACATTGTATACATTGTATACCTTGTATACAGTGTATACATTGTATAGATTGTAAACATTGTATACATTGTAAACATTGTATACATTGTATACATTGTATACATTGTATACATTGGTTCATCAGTTCGATTCGAATTCCATTCAAACCCCGATATTTTCAATGCGTACAATGTGTAAATTGTATGCATTGTATACTGTATACACTATATACATTGTCTACGCATTGAGAACATCGAAAGTTATACATTTAATAGTCACACGTAAAAGCCTATCGTTCGTTACAACCTCTCTTTAGTTTATTTGCCTTGTCTATATTCTCTTGATATAACTACTCTTTGATACTTACTGAGTTTCTGATTCTCTTGGGTCCATTGTATACATTGTATACATACTTTGTATATATTTTGTACATTGGTTCATCAGTCCGATTCAAATTCCGTTCAAACCACGATATTTTCATTGTGTACAATGTGTACATTATATATTGTGTATAGTATGTACATTGCCTGCGCATTATATACGTCGAAAGGTATACAATAAATGTACACGCGTAAACGCCTATCAGTGGCTACAACCTCTCTCTAGTTTATTCGCTTTGTCTATATTCTTTTGGTATAACTACTCATTGATACTGAGTTTTGGATTCTATTGGGTCCATTGTATACATCGCATACATTGTATAGATCATATACATTGTATATACATTGTATACATTGGATACGGCCACGGATCATCAGTCCGCTTCAAACACCGAGATTTGTGCAATGTGTACATTGTCTACTCATTGTATACATTGTCTACTCATTGTACACATTGGAACGTATACAATTAATAAAAACGCGTAAACGCTGGTAACAACCTCTTTCTAGTTTATTCGCCTTGTCTATCTGCTCTTGGTATAATTACTCTTCGATACTAACTGCGTTTTGGATTCTCTTGGGTTCAACTCATTTTCTTTTCCAGTATACGGCGACCTAGTATCCGCAGTGCAGCGTCTCCAGCTGCAACTGAAGAAAGCGGCATGTGCCGCGGGCAGTACCGGCGTCCTAGGCGGTCTGGAAGGCAGAATCGCCGCGGTACAGTCGCTGGTACTCTCGCCGCAGTTCGGCCGGGCTTTAGCAGTGCACAACAGGGTGCAGGCCGCACGCAGACGAGCGGTGTCCGCGCGGCAGCCGCGCGCGGACGCGCAGCGCGCGCTGAGGGAGTGCCTAGACGCAGTCGCGGGGTCGCAGAGCGCGTGCGCCGTTGAGCTGGCAGCGTTGCTTACAGGTAAGGAATCCAGGCGGGTTGCGGAAAAATGATGCGTTTTACAGGGTAGTCACAAGCAAGTCAAAAATAAATAATAGAAGAAATTTTAACTACAAGCTTTTATTAGCTGTTAATAAAAAATAACGTCAAGTAAATTCCAACATGTACTTTAAAAGTTGTAGGACGAAAATGAGTGATATGTTTTTCCTTGATCTTGATCTTGGCATCGAAAAAAATAATACCGCATTTTTCCATTTCCTGGCCAGTGCATGCTGAGCCTAATAAACCGAAATTAATATTTATAAAAGTATTAGTATATTCAACAGAATTTGCAGGTAGGTACTTAGAGGAATTACCAATGTATGTTTACCCGGAATTTCGATCCCTTAAAAGATCATTAGATAAATCTACCTGGTTACAAGCAGAGGCCTTCTTATAAGTATCCGTACAGATTCAAGCCTTCGTTAATTGTGTTACGAACCTGCAATTGGTGTTTATGTGTTCCGAGTTGCTGCATCCAGTGTCTGATTGTACAAAAAACTTTTTCAAGGTATGAACTTTCGTGCTGTATATATACATCTGATATAAAAATGTAGACATATAGATACAATAATGTAGTTTCTAATTCGAGTTTGTGTAGAGCCACAAACATGTCCACGCTAGACTCCACTTTCAAACAATTTTTATAACATAGCTTCAACATTTCCTGATAACATACCAGAATGTGGTAGGCCTCGGTTTTTTTGGCTCACTGTGCAGTGGCGGGGGAAGTGACAGGCAGGTTACATTCCGAAAACCAGAGGGAAAAAGTAAAAATAAATGTATTCTTAACTTTGTATTAAAGAAAGCTTGTTTTTTTCTGTCTGTTTATTTCCCATTTTCTTTTCAGGTTACGAATTTGAAGCCCTGATGGTGGCCCACGACGGCGTGGCATCCATGTTGCCTCTGGATTCGCCCTGTGCGACTCCAACGGCGACTGAAACTCTACCACCTGCAGCAGCGAATCGATGTTACGGGGAGGAGAACATCAAAGTAATCAAGATCGAGAAAAGCACTGAACCACTTGGTGCTACTGTCAAGAATGAAGGAGATGCTGTCGTTATCGGTAAGTTGATTTTGAGGAATATGTCCCTCAGAGATATGACCGGGAAAGTCACATATAAGTTGAATATCAGCGGTCCCAATACAGTTCCCTGAGGGACACCCTGTTTACTGTACTGTACTTCCGAGGCTCACTTTAATTTCTCTGTCCTCCATGTATCAGATCAGCCAATTCAAAAAGGATCAGCGTATACCCACAGTATATAATTTTTATATCTATAGTGTCAAATGTCTTAGATATATTTCTTTTTCAGGAAGGATAATCCGTGGTGGCGCCGCAGACAAAAGCGGTCTCCTCCACGAAGGTGACGAGATCCTGGAGGTGAACGGCATAGAGATGCGTGGAAAGAGCATCAACGCAGTCTGTGATATCTTGCAAACAATGGAGGGCACGTTGACCTTCCTGATAGTGCCAGCGGCGCAGACGCGCCATTTTAATAACAGGGACTCGTTCCTGCATGTCAGGTAATACAACAATTAGCGATAAGAAAACAATCTAGAACAGAAATAAAAATCATCTAAGAGTGTGTCGACCATCCTCACGGCTCTTACTACAACGCGTCCAAAAAGTACGGATACTTCAAAATATCTCAGTTATGACACAAAAAACCTATAAAATGTGACAAAAAAGACAAAATGTCACTTTTCAAGATACGTAATATCCTTCAACGAGTATGCGTAGCAAAAAGACTAGTTTCAAATCCCCAACTAGGTTTTACCCAGTCTTTAACATTTTTTCTTCACTACGCATGCTCAGTCGGTTTCAAACTGTTGGAATTGTGATTCTAATACGTTTTTGTCGAGAGAAATATTGTAGAACAAAGTCATAAGGTTTGAAAAGAGCGGTGACCTTGAACATGATAATCACTATGACATTCAAGGTTATTTGAAGGTCATTCAATTTTCTTAAAATTAAACTGCTATTTGACACCGGACATGTAACAGATGGAAATTCTACGTTTAAATGAGTCATTTTAGAATGTCCTGTACAGAAGATATGGAGAGAACAAAACATCTAGAAAAAGATGCTACTTGCAGAAAAATGTGGCAGAGCAAAATTGCAAGGTTTAAAGGATCATCTAAAAGTGACCTAGAACATCACCTTGAAGGTTTTTACGATAATGAAGTAAAAAACTCATTTGACCTTCAAATATCCTGAGGGTCATAGTCATGGTGATGGCCAGACCTAGACCATAAAATATTTCGCTTTTGTATATCCCCGAAAAAAAGTAAGGAGTTTACTTAAAAATGTATCTGACCTTCAAATGATCTTGAAGGTCATGGTCAGATTCGTTGGCAATAATATATATGACCGTAAAATTGTCCTCAGTTTGTATTTCAGGAATCAAAAATAGATGTTTTCCAACTTAACAACTCATTTGATCTTCAAATGACCTTGATGGTCAGAGGTTTGATAAGAGTCACCCAATAGTGACGATTAAATTCAAGGTCAATGGAAGGTAAAGGCAATTTTCTTAAAGGGAAAGTCCTATTTTTGACACCGGAAATGTAAGAGCTGGGAATTTTACATTTAAGTAAGTCATTGTTTATGACTTTGTCTACGACCTTCAAGGTCATTTTGGGATGTCGAATCCAGAAGGTATGCAGAGAACAAAATGTCTAGAAAAGGAGCTACTTGGAGAAAATTGTGTCTGAGCAGAAGGTTTGAAAATAGGATTATCTAAAAGTGACCTTGACCATCACCTTGAAGGTTTTACGATAATAGAGGATTCAACGGGACGTAAAATTACTCTTCTGAAAAGAAACAAGATTATTCCGGTAAAAAACTCATTTGACCTACAAATGTCTTGACGGTCATAGTCAAGGTGACGTCCAGACCTTGACCGCAAAATATTTCGCTTTTTTATATTCCGGACAAAAGTAAAGAGCTTACTTAAAAATGTACCTGAACTTCAAATGTTATTGAAGGTCACGGTCAAATTCATTGGCAATCATATACTTCAGCATAAAATTGTTCTCACTGCATTTCAGGAATAAAAAATAGATGTTTTTCGTTAAAAACTTATTTGATCTTCAAATGACCTTGATGGTGAGACGTTTGAAGAGAGCCACCTAATGGTGATCTTGAACCCGTGACGATTACATTCAAGGTCAATGGAAGGTAAAGACAATTTTCTTGAAGAGAAACTCCTATCTTTGGCATTGGAAATGCGGGAGCGGTAATTTTTTCGTTCAAGTAAAACCTTGTTCATGGCCTTGACTATGGATTTCAAGATCAGTTTAGGGTTGTCCAGAAGGTAGGGAGAGATCAAAATATTTCGAAGCATCTAAAGTATCCGAAGGTGACCTTGTGCGTCACCTTGGCCACGACCTTGAAAGTTTTACGATTATCAAAGACTTAGCGGGACTTGTAATTACTGTTCTGGAAGCAAAAATAGGAGTATCCTGTTGACAAATTCACTTGACCTTCAAATTTCTTGAGGATCATAGTCAAGGTAATGGCCAGACCTTGACCGCAAAATATTTCGCTTTTTTATATTCCGGACAAAAAGTAAAAAGTTTACTCAAAAATGTACCTGATCTTCAAATGATATTGAAGGTCACGGTCAGATTCATTGGCAATCATATACTTCAGCATAAAATTGTTCTCACTGCATGTCAGGAATAAAAAATAGATGTTTTTCGTTAAAAACTTATTTGATCTTCAAATGACCTTGATGGTAAGAGGTTTGAAGAGAGTCACCTAATGGTGACCTTGAACTTGTGACTATTATTCAAGGTCAAGACAATTTTCTTGAAGAGAAACTCCTATTTTAGGCACTGGAAATGTTACGTTTACGTAAGACCTTGTTCATGGCCTTGACTGTAGATTTCAAGGTCATTTTAGAGTTGTCCAGAAGGTACGGAGAGATCAAAATATCTAGAAAAGGCTGCTACCGGGAGAAGAAAAATTTTTCGGAGCGTCTTAAGGTATCTAAGACCTTAAGCGTCACCTTGGCCACGACCTTGAAAGTTTTACGATAATCAAGGATTTAGTTCTGGACGCAAAAATAGGAGTATCATGTTGACAAATTCACTTGACCTTCAAATGTCTTTAGGATCATAGTCAATATATTTCGCTTTATTATATCCCCGACAAAAGGTAAGGATTTCACTTGAAAAGGTGTCTGACCTTCGAGTGATCTTGGAGGTCATGGTCAGGTTCATTGACAGTCATATACCTGAGTCTAAAATTGTCCGCAATTTGAATTTCAGGGATTAAAATTAGACGTTTACCTTTCAAAATTCATTTGATCTTCAAACGACCTTGATGGTCATAGTCCAGGTCATGGACATACCTGAACAAAGTTCTCTGCTTTTTAAATTTCCTGTGTCAAAAAATATTGGTTTCTCTTTATGAAAACAGTTTTGACCTTCAAATGACTTTAAAGGTCATAGTGAAAGTTACGTTACGTAGATGACCATTTTCAAACCTTTTTTGTTCTACAAGTCTACATTTTTCTCCAAGAAGCGTATTCTTCAAGATACTTTTACGTACCCAAACTTTACTTTACTCAAATTTTATACGATGTTTAAACTTGCGCGCTCCGATTGGCCAAACGTCAATGCTTGGGCAGGCAGCGACAGGTGAACAACATGAAGTGCATACGGTTGAGAATAATAAGTTAGTTTCTTCAAGTAATGTGTTTTTGTTCTAATATTGATGTTGAATTTCCAGAGCCCACTTTGACTATGACCCCGAAGAAGACATGTACATTCCGTGCCGAGAATTAGGCATTAGTTTCCAGAAAGGCGACGTATTGCATATCATAAGCCAAGAAGACGCGAACTGGTGGCAGGCGTATCGCGAAGGCGAAGAAGACCAAACGTTAGCTGGATTGGTACCATCCCAATCGTTCCAGTACCAAAGGGAAAGCATGAGGTTCGTAATAGAAATGCTGACATCCCTGTTAAACGAGACGATAATATTGCATTCAGGAGATATATTTTCAGGTTCTTTAGTCATTCTAAATAAAAAGGATCTCGGTAACTTTAGAGTTACAAGAGATTTAAGTTTGAAAACCCTGACCATTTTTCAAGGCTTAAAAATCGGTTATAAATTAATGTGTTTATAGTTCATACTGTCCTATATAAAATCCCGAACTATTTTGGGCTCAGTTTATTTTAAAGCGGCCGTCTGGTTGTTTTTGATGGAAATAATAACAATCCCAGGTAGTGACGTCTATTATCGTCATATTAGTGACGTAGATGACCAATCATTTGACCTCCTGATGAGATCAGGTGGACGTTAAAATGTCGTAACCACAATACGTCATACAGACACGTTTTAATAACGTCACATAGTGACGATCGCAAGTCGTGACAAAGTGAACCTTACAGAACTTCATACAGTGATGTCTTTAGAACTATGTCTAGAGGCGTATATTGAGCTTGTTTCTACACCAGTTGATTCCTTTAGATCTTTAGAACATCATGTTATTAGTGGTTGTTAGTTAAAAGAATAAAATATAGGAGAAAACGTGTATTCTCAATGGCTTGTACACTATTACACGTTATCAGTTTGCTCTGTTTTAAAAAATCGGTAACATTATTTTGTTTGTGGCTTGTGGGCTTATATACCTATAAAACTATCTGCAAGAGTGCCAATATCCGTGATATGTCTATGAGGCTTTGAATTTGTACTTTTCTGGTTTAGTCCCTAGTATGACCAATTATGACGTTTTTAAGACGTCTAAAGTGTAACGTTCTCTAGACGTCAACTAGCCCACGTCAGTAAAACGTCATCATTCGACCGAAAAAGGTCGAAGACCAACGAAGGCCAAATTAAGACGCCCTACGGACGACATTCTTCTACCTGGGATACTTGAGGAGTTTTTTATCTTCTAGTCCGGACTTGTTACAGGTTGGCCGCTGAGGAACGGATGACCAAGCCGCAGAGGAAGAGTACGACCCTATTGTGCGGGAAGACGAATAAGCGGAAGAAAAAGAAAGGGATATATGCTGATGGGGGTTATCCGATGTATTCAAATACCGTGGATGAGTATGATCCTGAAGAGATACTCACTTATGAGGAGGTTAGTATTGTTATGTTTTTTATAAATACAGTTCTAATTCGTGATTGTTCGGTTCATTAGACAAATTTGCAATATTCTTTTAGTATGCGCATACCATTCTGAAACTTCTTATGTATTTTTAAGACTTGGATTGAAAAAATCGAAAATAAAAAAAAATTGATTTGACATTTTTACTTCCGGATTAGCGACTTGGGTTTTTGTTGTTTTCAAATTTTAAAACGGCATGTTTTTTTCGGTGTTCCCTCTACGTAAAATGCTTCTAATGTGTTTTGTAGGTATCACTGTATTATCCAAGGGCAAATCATAAGAGGCCGATAGTGCTGATAGGACCTCCAAATATCGGAAGACATGAGTTGAGACAAAGGTTGATGGAAGACTCGGAAAGATTTGCTGCTGCCATACCACGTAAGCATCTCATAAACTTAAGCAATTATAAAAGAAAATGTATCTCAATAGGGAAACATTTAGGTGGCAATACAATTATTAGGCTCTCGATTAATGATGGAAAAATTGAAGTAGTCAAATCATTTAAATATCTGGCTATATATGTGGATAGTAAACCACTGTTTCACGAGCATTATGAATACATTATTTCAAATATATAAAAAGGATAAAATACTTTTATAGAGTATTCCATAATCTGAGTATTTGAATTTAGTAAATTGAATAATGACATTAAATAGTGTTCGAATTTAAAACTAAAACATCGCCTTATGAATACTCAAAATGCATAGCAATGTAATTTTAATAGACCAGAAAGTAAAATTACAGGAAGTTGATTCAAAAAATGTCTAAAAGAGTATTTATACAGCACCCAACTAACAATTATCACTCCTATTAGAGTTGCAATGATTATACAGTATTCCTTAAACAGCATTGTACACTGTAAGAACATTGGCAAAACCCTCTTAGAACAGCTATACAAGCGGAATGGGCACACCTAATAGGACATTTCAGTCATTTAAGAGGTTGTATAAGGGCTGCAGGTAACAGTTATACAACAAAGGTGTAAGCCTCTTGCAGCCGCTATAGGACATTTGCGTGTCAGTGCTAGATTCAGTTTTTGTCTACTATACAACTATTCTGTTACGTGATTCTACTTTATTGCAACCAAAATATTTCTTATGTATTGTATAGACGAAGTGAAGAATATATAACTAACACATTACAGTCATCTTGTTTACTTACATATCGGCCATTGTGAGTTTCAAAGACATGTATATGATAAACTTCTATACTGCGATATTGGGCTATTGAATTACTTGCGCAAATTTGCATTCTACAAAACATTAAGTCAGCATTTTGGTGTTCAGGCAACAACAATAGAGACCTTTTATGGCTGAACGGTTTTTTTACCAAAAGCTTATACCACTACTTTGCTAGTTGGGCATTAATGCTAAATAAATCTTCAAAAAACGAATAAACAACAATCTCATACTACTAATATGTCTATAATTACTTCTATGAATAATTAAACTACAAGCTTTTCGATGCTTCTTTTAATGAATGATGCTATTACTTTATAAGCCTGCTAGACGCATTGGCCAGGCTTCTGCATCTCTTTACACGGCGAGACTGGCAAATATAACCGCTCCTCCGTTCTTAGTATATCGAGGATGTGATGCATCCATATAAAAATGACACATTCCTTTTTTTAGATACGTCGCGAGCGAGGAAAGAGAACGAAGTAGACGGACAAGATTACCATTTCATAACTCGTGCTCAGTTCGAGGCGGATATTCTGTCAAGGAAGTTCGTCGAACACGGCGAATACGAGAAAGCGTACTACGGTACTTCCTTAGATGCCATAAGGTAACTTAAATAAATCTTTTTATTTATTTAAAACTCATCTGAATGTCTAATCTGCTTTCGAGAATTGTAAAGTCAACTATCAGAGACGGGCAAGTCTAAGAGTCAAACTATTATTTTTCGGCCCTTCTTAAAAAAAAAGAACTTAACGTATTAAGAAGCTCGTTATAAGTTTATCAAATATCAAAATTATATGTTTATAAAAAAACCATTTTTAAATTGCCCTTGTTGTAGGTACATTTTATTTCCAATAATGCACCAAGCCACAGTATTTTCAAAAATGAATTTTGTTTTCGAAAATACGTTATATTTTTTCGATTCTCTGTGCCTCAAAATGTAAACATTTAGCATTTCAATCGAAACTAAGCAAGAAACGTTTTACATAAAATATTAAAATTCTCGAAATTTCTTTTTCATACTGCGGAATCTGCTTTTCATTTTTTTTATTAGATTCTGTAACAGCTTGTACATATTTTTTTACTAAACCCACTGAATGTAATTTTTCAGGTCGGTAGTGAATTCCGGAAAAATCTGCGTTCTGAATCTCCATCCGCAAAGTTTGAAGATCCTTCGGACGTCAGACCTGAAGCCGTACGTGGTTTTTGTTGCTCCGCCTGGACTAGAAAAGCTGAGACAGAAGAAGATTAGGAATGGAGAATCTTATAAGGTACATATCTCTTATAAGAATCGCAATCTCACACTCGGATAACCTACGTTCCGTGAACGCCATCTACGCGCGAGTAGCACAACGATTGTTTTGCTGATATCTGCCTGTATCACTGCAACCCGCAATTCAGTGGCATGCTTTGTTGGTTGCATACCCGTAATGTTCGAAAGGGAGACATATCTGGTGCAGTGTCAGAATCTCAAAGTAGGCAACACTCACAGCTTGAGTACGTCACCGATCGCAATCTTTTGAACATGAATGTTGATTAAAATGTTGTTTCTCGTATTTCCATTGCCCAGCGGCTGTGTGCTCCGTCTCCGTGCAACGTTCAAGAACTAAATTTAATTTTGGAAAAGAGGACAGTTCGATTCGATACAAATCGTCTGAATATGAAATAGCTCTAAAACATTTAAAAATACGAAATAATCGTTATATAAATGAGTCGCTAATGCAGTTAACCTAATTAAAAGTATTTAGTTTACGTTCTTTGGTGTCAGCACACTGTGTTCCAACAGGCCCAGCTTGGAAATGTGGAGTTACCTATTTGTTTTCAATACATTTACTTTCAGTTTTACTGTTATTTTTCAATTTTACATAATCATTCAAAATTATGTTTGAAAAAATAGACAAAAGCTTAGATAAAATATCTGCATAATTGCGGCCACAGATGCAAGTTAAAGAAAATTCGCTGTATATAAAGTCAGACTGAATGCTGAGCAAGGTTAACTGACACAAAATAAATTTTTGATTATTGCTTTTCAAGAAGAAAATTTCCAATCTATCTACATTAATAATAGATTCAAAAATGGCATACATATGGTAGAATATGATTGGTACATAACTGGTTGGAATTGACAGTCCTCCTCTTTGCATATGATCAAAATAAACATTTGTTGTTAATGAACCTTTTTCTTTAACTATTAGCGATTTGCATATCTCGCAGTTTAGGTTTTTAGAGATAGCGTGTGAAGCATATCCAGATATATAAGTCTTAGTACTATCCTCTATGTCACAATTGGCTAAGTAATTTGTCTCAAATACTTCATTGAATATATCGAAAACTTCAGGATTTTGTTTGGTATCCAAGAAATCAAAATTTTCTTGAGTTTCTAAGCAGTTTTGGAACCTTGTTTTAATTTTTGCTAAAGACAATGACGATTTCTTATATAAATTTATCACATGTTCAACCAAAGGTGTCATTTCATCACCTGTTACATTTGAAACTGGTAGTAATTTGATAATTTCTGTTATGTTTCCAAATGCTGAAGATAGCATGAAGGCTAAAACAGTTTTAGCCATGTCATTTTTATTTGAGGCATACCCAACAATGTTTTGTGAGCGATAGTCCAGCCTAGATGTTATATAAATTTCATCGATCATCAAAATTACAATTTTTTCTCTTCGAGCTAATTTAATTGCTATATTCGAAAGGTAGTGTTCATTATTCCTATCATTTTTTGGAGATATATCCATACTTGAGGAGATATGTTGTAAGTATCGCTTAATTGGCAAAATAAAAAATCTTTTAATTAAATTATATGTTGATGATGAGTGGTTATAAAACCTAAAAGCCATTATTATTGAAAGTGATGCATATCTGTTTTTCCTGTTTTGCATTTGTCTCAGCTGATCAGCAATAATCTCTAGATTTTTTGTATATGGAAACATAACTGAGTCATTATTGATTATGGAAATCGCTGTGTCAAGTTGTTCCAATGCATTCATGATGCAAACTTCAACAGAGTTTTTGTCTTGGTTCTCAGAAAAATAGAAAAAATACCTATTTAGCAGGTTTTCTAATTGGGACCATCTGGTAATTTTGAGATCATATGGCAAAACCCACTTCAAGTCACTAAAAGAAAGCTTACATCCTTTATGAACAACCTGAACTTCCATCTGACCATCAACTATAATCTGTGTATTCAAAGTTAAGATATCATTTTCAAAATCCAATTTATAAAAATATAGCTTCAAATCAGATAATTTATTATTCCATTTCTGTGAGGCTTTAATTTTTGAAAATGAAGAATGTAATTCTTGAAAGTCTTTGATCTTATACATATCATCGAAATTCTGGATAGCTTTTTCATGTTTCTCAATTAATTTTTGTTTTCTTTGCATTGGGTCAGTTCTTTTGGGTGCTTCAGTTTTTGAAAGATATGATGGCAAGTTTGGGAAAATGGAGGGAACAGCATTTTCTTTCAATTTTGAATATTATTTTGGACTGTTCCATCCGCCAAAACTATATTTTCTGTCCTGATGATATCCGATTCTCTAAAATGACGACTGCACACAGCTGAATATTTTGAAGGGGTCCAATTTTTTCTGGGAATTGCCATAAGCCATTTGTTTTTCAGACTTTCGGTACTTGGGAAGCGAAAAGTTGAAACATAGCTATCTGTTTTCAAAGCAGAATTATAGTTTGCATTGCATAAAGGAACACAGCAACAACGAGGCATATTGTCTGCGTCAAATACTTGATAAATGAAAAAAGAAAAATACAACCTGAATTTGCACGTTTTCAATAGTTGAAATCCTTAGCGTCCTGAGGCGCGAACAGCCACAGTCACACTTCTTAGTTTATTTTTAAAGCACAGAAGCACTACAACTGGAGTCTATTTCTCATATATTATAGTCACCGATCACTTTGAACACATACACACACTTTGAAGCTTAGAAAACAAGCTTATCTCTCAATTACAGCCTCTGGGATTCCAAAATCACAAATTGAAAAGGTTATGTTTTCTCAGCGTTTTGAGCACGAGTTGCGTCGATGCAGCAAGCAGCGGCGGGAGTAACACTACCACCTACGTTGCCAGATTTCTTTGTTCACGGCTCGTAGTTGACGTCGCCTGTGCCCTAACTCTACTAGACGTTAATTTCTTGTTTTCTTCTAGGAGGAAGAGTTGAAAGACATCATAGAAAAAGCGAGAGAGATGGAGGACAAGTACGGCCACTTCTTTGACATGATCATCATCAACAATGATACGGAAAGAGCCTATCACGATCTGTTGAGTGAAATCAACAGCTTGGAGCGGGAACCTCAATGGGTTCCAGCGGCGTGGGTCAAATCAACGTAATAGAAGGTTATGAGTGGAGAACCCCCAGGATATTGAAAGTAATGGTTCTTAAATTGAGTTTGAGTATTCTCTAAATCTATTTTCAGATCAAAGTGTTATTTACAACTTCTTGAAAAGAGAAGTTATTAGTAAAACATCTAAGTTATCTGTTAGATAATATTTTTTAGGGGCATACGTGGGAGATTACAGGATTTAGTTTTTAGTATCCAAATCCAGGGAAGAGATTCTTGCTAATATAATGCTTAAGGTCGCACATCTCCTTTTAACAGCCTGTTTGAAGGGGAATTCTGAATACTTTCATTTCAGTCTGATTGTTTCATGGCGCGTATCGAGGTAAACTATATCAACAATTTTTTGTCTAAGAATGAATTTTTGGCTTTTCTACAATCGTCAATTTAAAAAAAATTATAGTACTCATACTGGAGCGGGTAATTACTTTTTTTTGTCATTTTTTTCTTTGAAAAAATCTATAAGAAAAACTGATTACCCGCTCTGGTCTACCAAAAAAGTGGAAAATTCTCAAACAATTTCGGAGCTTCAATGTTATTTATCAATAATTGTATTATTCTAAAAAACTGTACAAAAATGTATCAAAATGCATTTCATGACAGAAAATGATAATATATTGTTCTTAAGTTATCTCTATATACACCACGAAATAATCAGATAAAATGAATTTTTCAAACTGTTAAAAAAAGGAAAATTTAAAATTTTTGAATTCATGTTATTTGAACAATTTTTTTTTTCATATTTCTACGTGCTGAATCTATTTTAAACTATCTTGAAAATATTCTGTAAAATCCTGTATTATGAAAACACCCATGCGAAGGTTCTGAAAGATTTCGCGAAATACTCAAAAAAGTCCGAAAAATATCACCTATGTTCGTCACCTCAATAACTACGTTTTTTCTTTAATCTTGATCCATTACTTTCAGCATGCTGGATGAATTGTACTTTGACTGAGAATTAAAATACGAGAAAGCTATATATATATATATAGTCAAGTTTTTATATATGTATAATAGTGATTTTTATTGACTGAAAACTTTTATTTGATGTAAGAAGCTTATTTGAAATGATCGGTAAGAGATACGAGAGGAATCAAAATGAAATGGTCTGTAAACGCTTCTGTCAGTAGGGCGACTACGTTCTTTCTAGAATCAAAACGATTTCAAGCTCCTCCTTGAAAAAATCTTTGCGCCGCCCATGCTTAATAGTGCGCGCTGTTACGTAGCATGTTCCACATCAAATCAGTTGATCCTTCTGCCACGGACAATTAATGCAGACTAGATAGAAAGAGCCTACGGTTTGCTTGTCTCCGAAATACCAATGTGTAGGAAGCATGGAGCCTGTACAGGGTGATTCACAAGTCGTGACAAAAAATGAAACATCATACACAGGACCGCATTTCAGAGGGGTCTTCATTTTTTTCGAAACGCGCAATTTTTCGAATTTTGAATTCTCTGACGGATACAAGTGCGGGATTTAATAAAGAAAAACATATTTCCGCTAAATTTCTTGTAACTTGTTCAGAAACCACCTTTCCATTAGTGGTTTGTGGATTTTTTTGAAATGTAGCAATTCTGAGGAATATTGCCCCATCTGGCAATGCTGTGCTTTGACATATACGCCATACGAACGATTTCCAGGCAGCGTGAATCTGTACGTATCTGTTTTATGATAAAACTTGATTGAAAATGGGAAACTTAGTCATTTTGAATCCAGAACGAACATAGTTCTCCTAATTTTGTCCACAATATATGCTGCATAAGATATAAGGCAGTCGAATATTCTAACCTCACAAATTGCAGCAAGGTAAACATTTAGGTTAACGTCAGAAGCAGCAAGTCTTAAGATTTATTTCATTAAATATGTTTTTAATATTCCGACTGCCTTATATCTATAGTTATGACAGTAACTTACCTACAGAATCAAAAAGTGTAATTATTCGTACGAAAATGTAGCGATGTATGTATTTGCAAAGTAATGTGTAAAGTTTAAAGGTTATTTTATTGATGTTCGACTTTTGTGGCCTATGATGAGATGCTCACTCAGACTCGATACAACGTTTTTGAAAAAACACTCTCACCAAGTTTGGTTTCTGCTAGTATTGAAACTAGAAAATTTTCCAAATTTAATAAAACTCTAGAAAATACAAGAGAAACGATTGAGTCTGTTTTTAAATGTTACTTATCATTCTAAAATGTTGATTTGATACGTGTACCTGTTTGAATTTCATTACAAACATTTTAAACTGTTGAAGTGTGTTTTGAAATCCTTCTTTTGAAGAACGATTCTGACACTGTGGTTGGAACACTTTTTCTAAGACGGGAAACAAAGCTTATTTGTATGCTGCTCAAGTCTTAACCTCAATCTTAACTGTTGGCGAGGCAGTGTGAAATTTGACACAAAACTAAAAGGTACAATATTATTTCTATCCTTATGGGAACAGACAAAAATCAAGTAGGTAAGATATATAAAAGGGAACTCTGCTAACAGCATTCTAATTATACTGGTACGGATTCAATACTTACAGTATTTTGTTAGTTGTTTGAGATCAAATATTTTGCGATTTGAAAACTGGCTACAGTTCTCAAGGTCACGCTTAACTCAAAATGTTTCCAAAGACATTTTTCATGCTCGGTTCTTGACAAATTTTTCATTGCTTTGGCTTGTCAAACATGTGTCAAATTTCGACCTACCACCTGTGTGTTGAACCTTCTCTAGATGTTTATCGAATATAAGGATGGGCGAGTTTGACATATGACGTATGATGATGGTAAACCGAGGCACGGCAATAATTGTATATAAAAACGTAGTATATAAAAAATCTTATGTTTATTGCTCAGTATATAGTGCCAGAAATCGTATATATGTGTAGAAAAGAAGTAGCACACAGAAGAATAGATCGAAGTGTGTCCAAAGTAGCATCATGGGATGCATTTAGGGAACGATAGCACTTAAATCGCTCAACTCAGCGATGCAGCTGATGTTAACCATTGCAGTGGTGTCACTTTCTGAACGCACCAACTGGAAGGATGAGTCGTACAATGTTACATCCTTTTTCAAACACAACTTTTTAAAATGTATGTTCGAAGATACGTAAATATTTTCTAATAAAATTTATTAAATGTTTATTATTATTTTAAATCCTTTGACGTATTCCGCCTGATGATAGTCAATCGAAAATGGCGCCAAAAAGTGATCGAAGATCAAAGCGACATCTATCAGACAACAGCAGAACCAAACACCATAACTTCTTTCAAAGTAGACTTCTAAATGGACATGTGTTTTGCTTAGACATTTTTTGTGACATTGGCCTTTGATACCTCAAGACGCGGACACGAGATTTTCTGAATCTGTTGAGACTACTTTTAGAATAACAAAATACACTGCATAATCAGGTAGAATACGTTGATCGAACGTGTGAATGACTTCTTTTTTCGTTTTTAGGAATGCCAAAATTTTAGCGCCGTCGATGTAGGTTATAGAAAACAAATTTGACGTCTAATCGTTGGTACAATAACTATTTCTAAAATAAATTTCTAAACTTGATCGTATTCTAAAAACTTCGACTTGAGAATGCACACGTTCTCGCGTTCTTTCAATATAGTCCAGTCAATCGAGGCAAAAAGAACCTTTTGAGCTGGATTTTAATGAAAATGTTAAATACAATAAAATAGAAACAAGTACTTATTGTTTCCATATCAGTGTGTACTACTTCTATATTACATTATAATATCAAATACAGAGATCTACTCATATAAACTCATAGAAATACTATCAGTTTTTAAATCGATTATAGCCTTCAGATTATATTCAGAAAATGCTAGAAAATTATACGTGGCATTTTACGGAAATTTGTGTTCGATTACAAAAACCTTTTTCGAATTTCGGACAAAAATGTCAAAATTTTGGTATTTTAATATTTCATTCGTTCCATCTGCTATCGATTGGTTTTTTGTTTTTGTATTTTGTAGCCAGTCATTTTCACACCCAGTATTTTTAAACCTTTCATCTTTAATTTGGAATCCTTGAACGTGTACTAAACAAAAATGCCATTTGTCTTTTCTAGGTGTTTTCTGTAGTCATCGGGCTACATTAAGAAAACTTTAATTGATGTTAGTAAAATTCCAATCTATTAAAATACATATTAGAATTATTTTATAGTGAACCATTTAGGAAAGTATATAGTATTTCTTTGTTTTAGTATTCCATACTGAGTGTATAATATATATTTTAGAGGAAATTATACTTAGTATGTATAGTCGAAAATTATAGTACATATTTAACTATAGTGTCCAACAAGGAATCAATTTCTTCGATGTAAAAACAATACGTCTTTTAGTTTTTCTGATTTCGATTCTAAAAACATTTCATACGATGGTATACTTTGACTGTCTTTATTTATTTTTGACTAAAAGAAAACCTTTTACTCGTTGAAAATTCTCTAGATCGTTTTATAATAATCGCATTCGTTAGATGACCCTTTATGAAGAAAAAAGGCGGTAACCCTGTGCGAATATTTTTTAAACAAATTACAAAATGAAGTTTTTTCGCTCTGGACCAAGCTTTTCTAGATACTTTGAACCATTGTGATAAAATAGGTACTTTGTAAATTCTCTGTCCTGTTTTCGAGTTTTAAACGATTTAATTTTTAAAAAAAGCCGACGGCCATTTTCATTACCAAAGATGGTCAATATCGATCTTTAAAAATATTTTTAAGGTTGCCTAAGAAGTCCATAGTTTTTGGTAAAGGGTATTTTATTGTGAAATATATTTCTTGCTGGACATTACACGTATTTTCCAAGGTCAACATTAAAGCATGTTGATTTTTGTATATTTCTAATTTTAACTTAACCTTCCACATTTTCTAGAACTGAAGTCGTGCGTGAATTGTTCGTATTTTTATTGTTTATTTATTTCTTGTTATTGTTTAATGTATATACAAATATAATTGAGATTTGTAAATATATAATGCAGACCCTATGGCGTCGAACAACGGTTTACACAATGTATAAAAATATATATTAACGCATATATATATTGATCACGTGACTTCGGAGTTCCTTTTTTCATTATTAAAAACCTATTTTTCTTATACATTCGTTGTTTTAGAATTACCGCAGAAATAAATATTTCTCACCATTACGTTGTCGTTTGTCATTTCTGGTCCCGAAACTGCAACATACTATAGTGTATTTACACCCAAGATAGAATGGATGCGTGATGAACTACCACCAACGTTTTGTAAAACAAAGATGACAGTATTTAACAAAAACTTAACAAATTACTCAAATACACTTAACAACAACAACAGCAACAACAATCAAGCAAGGTGAATACGAAAACACGAGCACGCAGTGATACACGCGACGGTCGGTGGCCTGAATGCAACTCTGCCTGCCCTGCATCTGCCCCACGCATTATTATATATACTTCGAAGTTGAGTCATTTATTTTAACAGTGAGTAGATCTGATCAAAAGAAATGTTTTTTTCCTTCAACATTTTTGTGGTAAAATTAAAGTAACAAAGTTATAGCCCTTTAGAAGTTTGAGTACCGCCCTGTCTCAATAATAATATTATGTGCTCGTGTTTGGCAACAACGGATATACTCCGCCTTGTCGGTTCATCGCATCGGAAACAAAAAAGTGAAAGAATTTGAAACGCTGATCACGATGTTTTTATTCAGTCAATGTGTCAGTCGGTAACGCGTGAGTGAATAGTGGTGTTTGCTGCGTGGCTCAAACGAAATAAAAAATGGCACATATTTATGCGGATCGGTTTCCCAATCGAGTGCAACCAACCCCTCGTGCCTTTGTTAATGTAGTACAACGGGCTCGTGAATCAGGTGACTTAAGACCTCACAGAGGAGGGCATGCCGGTGCTCCAACACCTCACGATCAAATACAGATCCGCACTGAAATATTTGTCGGGAGGATACTTTATAAAACAAGGTAACCATTTTTTTTAATTTTTACACACATACTTTGGTTTGTCTTCCTTCTACAATCATTATCTGAAAATTAATGACTCAACTTCAAAGTTACCCTGTATATATATATATATATATGTGATTACATCACACAAAAGTGATGCTAGGCTTCATCCTGAAAGATGCGCTCTAGCATCTCATGTTAACACAACAGGGCATTCTATGAATTACACAAGTATCAAAGTTCTTGATAAAGAAAAACACCTTTCCAAACGTTTATTCCTGGAAATGTCCCACATCTGTATCAACAAAAAGACAGATGTTAAACAACTGAGTGTCATTTACTCATATTTGCTAAACTGCGAAAAATTTGAGAACTTACATATCTCCCCAAATTTCAACTCTTCACAACCATAATTAGAATCTGTGTTTTGGCCGATTCCACCAGTAAATTTCATTCCACTTAAAATATAATAATTCTCTTCTCACGGTTTATTAATAATGTTAATTTAAATTCCCATTAATTAAAATATAGTTTATTCAACTGACTCTGGTCGGTTTAACAAATTCTTACATAAAATTCTGAAAATCTCATCATCTGAAGTGATTTGGCAACGTTTTGGCACACGCCCACAATTCGTTCCATCTTTCAACACAGACATTGACATCCTTCGGCCTTCTGTCAAAGGGTTTCATCTCACTCATTATTCCATGACCATTAATTTGTCCAATCATCAAGTGGCTTCACGATGTAATGCTGTAATGTTTTTTAAATAATTTTTAATCTGTTTTTAACTTGTTCTTGTCATATTTTAATAATTTTGACCATTGTACAATCTATCCAGCTCTCACCATGTTACTGGACGTTTCCCTCATCCTATACGTAAACAACAATTAGCAACATCCTCACATACTACTGTAAGTTGAGTCAATCTAAATTCATTTTACACTTTTGTTGCTACTGTTATCATTGTAATTGCAGCTCCTGATGATGATGGCAAAGTCCATTGAAAGCTAGAGAGAATTAAAAAAGGTATAAAGAGTCCTCTTTGCTTAAATTTTGTCGAAGTACCCAACAAAAGGCGGAAGCTTTAATTTTTCACCTATATATATATATATATTTATTTACATCTCATCTTGAATTTGGATTCAGTTTAGAACACAGAAGCTGCACATGTTCTACCCCAAAAAGAAAATGTCTACTATACGAACTGTAATTTAATTGAGCTAAGGAATCATATCCTGCATTTTTAGCCGTCAATTGAATTACAACCTGTAATTCTGCATCCTTTTGAAATAAGATAGCCCGAAGCGCCATCTCTTACCAGAATCAAGGACTGTTAAGAGTGAATAGCAGCTATCAGGATATTAAAAATGTAGTTTGGTTTAGGTAGAAACTGCCCTACTTCCCGTGTCACTCGACCATGATATATACGACAAAATTGAATATTTTACACCCAATCTCTTGCACGGTTAAATTAAATTAATTTGCAGACCGCAAGTTGCCGCGGAAGTTTGGAAACTCGTCGGCGCGGTGGGAAGTGAGCTATTCGAGCTCCGAGGATTAAAATTCATAAACAGGGAATCAGCCTTTCGGCGTTACATTTACAAGGGACTCTGTAAAGCTGTGGGTGTCAGGCGTTATATCATTGTGTATTTTGGATGATCTTGCAGAGGGGTCGTGTCAGTTGAAGATGATTATCAACAAGAGCTGTTGCCTTTAAGAGAGGCGTAGGGATTTCAATACAGCTTTTTATTTTAATAAAATTTTGTATAAGTACTTAATGAAGCATAATAAGTAAATGATGAAAATTTCAAAATGATTGCACTGCTTTAAAGCCCTTTGACCTTTGATAATGTGTGGATGCACCCTGATGTGCTACGCATTCTCCAACGCGCCTAGGCATGCTTCTGATCAGGTGGTCAATGTCCTCCTGTTGTATCTTATTCCAGGCAACCACCAACTCCTCTCGAAGTGCTTCTAGAGTCTGAGGAAAACGTTGCAAATTGAGCAATCTCCTACCCATCATACCCCAAACGTGCTCAATTGGGTATAAGTCGGGAGATCTTGGTGGCCATGGTAACAATGTGACATCATTATGTTAAAAGAAGTCTATTGTGACTCTTGCAACATGTGGTCGGGTATTATCTTGTTGGAAAGTTTGATCTGCCGGGGTGTCAAGATAGGGTAAAAGATGGGGTTCTCGAAGCCATGCCTGACAACACCTAACCACAGTGTCTACACTTCTTTGCACTCTAACTGCAATTGCCCGAAAAGAAAGTCCAGCTTCCCGAAGACCCACTATACGGCCCCTATCAAACTCACTAAGTTGACGAAATCGTACAGGTCTCCGTACTCTAGGCATCGTAACCGATCGTAAAGGATGTCAAGAACCAAAATCCGCCAACGTTGATTCTTTACTGCGGCTGAAATATTCATTTTTAGAGAGTTAGTGAATTAAAAAAAAGCAGTATAAAAACCGGAATGTCCAACTGATAAGGCTGAAAATTTTTTCACTTGTTATTTACAGTAAGATAAATACATTCACCAACTTTTGTTAAAATAAAACCATTTAAACTGGGTGTTCGGATTTATATGTCACTTAGTATAGTTAATGTCAGGTTTTTGATTGAATTCGCCATAAAACTATTCAGTCAAGCTCGATGATAAGTATTTAAATAAATACTTGCTGTGATTCATCATGTGGTTGTTGGCAGAGACAGTAAAGTTACTGGCCTGCTTGCATTTTTGGCATATGAATTCGGTCCGAGTTTTGGTGTTTTCTTCTGTTATACCCACGCAGTCACCATGGAACCAGTTACTGCACAGGTAGAACTTCGTCTCGTCGTACGGAGCTCGACGCATGCAATAAAGCTGAAAAAAAATTAAGAAAGTAAACAAACGTATTTCAGAATCATTACAGCAGTCTTTTCTTGAATATTAGTAGACATGGGATAGCCTTTGTCAATTTGAAAATTACGATAAAGCTATTCGTGCTGTAAAAACGATCTCGAAATTTGACGCCGGGATTACCAGTGGTGCTTTGACAGGGTTGCCGTGTTGGAGGATTTTTCAGCGAATTTCGGGAATGTTTACTTGGGGAACTTTTGGGGATATAATGTTAAGGAACAAAGCACACGTTTCGCGGATAGAAAACATCCTTACGCTCTTTGTACCAAACATATCCCTTTACATTAATGAAAATAGCCGAAAAGATCGTTCAGGAACAACTTATGACATTTGCGTTCAAGAACCACCTGCTGCCTAGCAACCAACATGGTTTTATTCCTGGTAGATCAATTATCACCAACATGTTACACTGCATTGACAATTGGACCAGATCTTTAGACGCAAATGAACCGGTCGACGTGGTTTTTCTGGATTTTTCCAGAGCTTTCGATCGAGTTCCGCATAAAAGGCACAAGCTTGAACATCTCGGAATCAGGGGAAATTTGTTGTTATGGATTGAAGCTTTTTTGTTAGACAGATCTTTCTCCGTCCGTGTTGGAGACGCCTATTCTTCTAGTCATCGTGTTACTAGTGGAGTTCCACAAGGATCTGTGCTAGGGCCAATACTTTTTCTTCTTTATACAAGCGACCTTCCCACCCGACTTTATTCTATGTGTTCCATCTATGCAGATGATACTAAAGTCTATAACACTGTCATGAACTCATCTGTGCTTCAAGAAGACCTCAAGCTGATCAGAAAGTGGTCAGAACTCTGGCTCCTGCCTTTAAATCTATCGAAATGCTACGTTCTCCACCTGGGAAAGAATAATCCTAACTTAACATATAAGATTGGCAAACATACCTTAGAGACTGTTCTTCATCACACAGATCTTGGTCTGACAGTTAATGGCCGGCTCACCTGGTCGGAGCACATTCAGAAAATAACCTCTAAGGCAAAGCGGTTGCTATATATGATGGAAAGGTCATTTAGCGGTTGCACCGTTAGTACCTCCTCCTTTTTGTACACAACTTTCGTACGACCCCTACTGGAGTTTGCTGGTCTGGTATGGGATTCAAACCTTGTTCGCGATAGCAGCTTATTAGAGGCCGTTCAGCGTCGTGCTACACGTATGCCATATGGCACACGTAGGCCAAGTTATGAAGACCGCCTCGAGTTATATAACCTGCCTGCCTTTGCTGATAGAAGAGTACGAGGAGATCTCATCATCACTTTCAGAGCACTGCATAATTTGTTTGGTGTGGAC